ACTTAGTTACTTTATTTAATATCCAGGAGCAGAGAAGTAAAATTTTCAAAGATTTAATACATTTTCACTATATAATCAATAGAGCCCCGCCCTAACACCTGAACCCCTGACCCGGGGGCCATGAAATTCACAATTTTGGAAGAGACACTCTTGCTCATCATAACTATGTACTTACTTACTTTATTTAATACCCAGGAGCAGAGAAGAAGATTTTCAAAGAAATAATGCACTTTCACTATATGATCTATATAGCCCTGCCCTAACACCAGAACCCCTGATGTTTCAAAGAAGAAGCTAAAAATGTTCAAATATTAACGCAATTCACACGACACATGATGACGGACGAAAACGGATAGCAATAGGTCACCTGAGTGATTCAGGTGACCTAAAAAGATACCACAGATTCTGACATATCTGTTTCATATTTAGATATTTTACTAGAAAAAGATGTTAATGGTAACCTAGCAACAAAGCTTTATGACAAACGTGATGACTTCAACATTTCAATCCTCAATTTCCCTTACTTATGTAGCAATATACCCTTATCATCTGCATATGGGGTTTATGTCTCTCAGTTGATTCGATATGCAAGAGCATGCTCTACATATGAACAATTTCTAAAACGAGGCAAGCTATTGACAAACAAGTTGATGAAACAAGGATATCAACAGTCTCATTTGAAGTCATCTTTTCACAAGTTTTACAGTCGATACAATGACCTTGTCAGCACCTACAACCTATCATTGAGTCAAATGCTGACTGACGCTTTTCATACTAATTGTTAGGCCATTATTTACATGTATACACTGAACTGTCTAAGGATTTCTCCATTACTACCCAATCATGACAAGGAGCACACGGCGAGTGTGACCGGTCGGCAGGGGATGCTCATTCCTCCATGGCACCTGATCCCACTTCTGAGTTTTGGGGTCCTTGTTTGCTCTGCTTGTTTGTATCGTTTCATTGGACTTTCCAGATTGAATACTGTTCGTTATCTTCATATTTCATCAAATATCTCAATTAAATCAATTTAAAAAGAAGGATTTCCCAACATTTGTTTTGTATACATATGCAAAAAAAAAAAAAAAAAAACCCTCCTTATTTTAATGTCTTCATTAATGTTATAAAATTGGAATGGAAATTGACGTCTTTCAGAAAACTATCGAACAATCACACTCTCTTCGAATGTTATCATGCTTTAAATTTGCATGATGTATGTCTTTTTTGTCGGATGGCAATTTTTTTTTTAAAAACCAGTTTACTGGTCTGTAGAGACAACTATACAGGGTTGGGAGGTGGATAAAATATACAGATTGGTTAAATAGTGTCTAGAATAAGGGAATAAAAGTTGATTGACCAATCATATTTTTATAACGGGATCTGTAGCATCATGGTCAAAGACTAAAATATAAACGGTTAACCACACAACGCTACAGTTCTGGAACTACAACAAATACTGATATTTAAATACATGTGCTAAGAAATTTAATTTTGAACAAAAGTCTAGGTCCGACTTATGAATTTTCTTCTAGAAGAAATATAGTAACTCATTATATAGATTGGAACAATTCTAATGCAGAAAATGAAGATCTAAGATTACCACAATCATAATTATAGCACTAGTATTTAGAGAATTAAATGATCTTGTACTTGTTAAAATTGTTAGTAAACTCATCTGTCTTGCCCCAAAATATACATGTACTTAGAAATGCTGGTAAATACAAAGATTTTTCATCTGAAATTGTCTACAGATTTTAGCAAAATATTACTGACTTATAAGCCAGTCAATGACTAATTCTTCTGAATTAATCTGAAAAAATACAACCGACCCTTTTAGGAAGTTGCCCCCCCCCCTTCCCCCCACACACACTTTTGAAACCGTTGTTAGGGGCCTGTGTAACATAGTTGCCAACTCACCCGATTTCGTCGGGTTACACCCGATTTTTCGACCCTTAACCCGATTATTTTTTATGACACGGCGGGTCATGCTTTTCACCCGATTTTTGCCGAACAACTCGAAAATCTCCTGATTTCCTGATTTGGTTCGTAAATTAGGTTGCACTTTTAACTTCCAGTTACAACCCAAGCTTGGATCTACGTAAACAATGCCGATGGCTATGTCCAGTAGGCTGTGTACCAGTAAATTATCAGTGCAGGTGTAAACAATTACCTGGGAGTTGTTTTGACAAATCAAAGTTTGAAGTCAATTTAAAATGGCTTCCAATAGAACTAGATCGTTATCAGGGCCAACAGGAACAAATTGAACCAGGGACCTACATACTATAGGTCTCTGATTGAACCGAGAAAAAGAGAAACAATGCATATCAAGGAATCTTGGAAAACAACTTTCATTAGATAAAATAAATTGATCGAAGAGAGTGTAGGCCTAACTGTACATTTAATACATATTGCACTTGTTAATTAAATTAACTAAGAGAGAGGAAAAATAATTTCCAAAACCAAAATTGAAATACTTTCAAATTTAGCACAAACTGAAAAGGCTTTCTTTTTAAAAAAGAAAATGCACTTTTAATTCAGGTCAATACTGAATAATGAAACCTTCAATGCTCTTTTTTAACATGTAAATTTAATCAATATATATTAATTTTTTGTCATTGTAAGTTAAAGCCTTTTTTAATAACAGAATTCTCAATACACAAATACTTATATATAATTTAATCATGGTAAATATGTCGTGAACGTCGTTACACGTTATGACCAGATTTTTTACTTTCCAAATCTGGTCATGAACCAGATTTTTACATGTTGGAGGTTGGCAAGTATGCTGTGTAACGAATTAACCACGTTTGAATTATACAAGAAATAATTATTTCAAGTTTATTTCAAATTCATTATAGTACAATTCTCTGATATGCTTGGACTCTCGGTATATAAGGCGTGCTATTTTCGGCAATTGCTACACTGTACATTATTAGCGTGTCCTAAATTCTCCTTGGTCGCTAGCTCATCTGATTCAATAATTTATAAAGTACCACAAAAGAAACACAGAAGTGTGTGAATATTTCTTTTTGTCAGTGTGTGCTGTCTAGTTTGCAAAAATAAGCACGAGTAAGAGTTCTTATTGCAATGGCATTTATTTAATTTATATTTTTTTTTCCGATATCAATATACAAATCTTGTGTGGAAACACTTAATTTAGGACCCTGCATACTAGATGAATATTTGGATGTCCGGAGCTTTAAGAAGTTCCCTTGACTAGAAAACATGGAAAAACTCCAATAATTACTATATTCTATAACACAAGGGTATACACAAATGTTTAAATGCAAGTGATGGAAGGAAAGGTGGATGTATGTTTCTCTTAGTTATTGGCAGCCATTTCTAAATTTTATATCATTAAAGGGTGCGTCTGCAACGCTTAATGCTATGCTAGTGTGTATCATTAACCGTCGATTAAATGGATATTTGCTTGTTTCATTAAGCGTCAGTGTTGCTCTGCATTTGTGACGCTTAATGATATAATTCTATCATTAAGCGGCGATTTAGCATCAGCGGTTGAGAATGTCAACTATTAATGCAAAAATTTACGGCATTAAGCTTAATGATTGATATTTGTATTATTAAGCGGCGCTTTATCATTAGAGGTTGCTACAGTGTTTCATTATTGTTAAATAATTAGAAAATTATGGGCTGTCACGGTTCCAAAATTTTTCGGGTCGGGTCTGTTCTGTAAATTTTGGGTTTGGTTTCGGGTTTTACGGTTCGGTTATTTACATCTATTTTAAACCTTAATTTCATGAATTTTACTTGAAAAATCTTTATTTGTTACATTTAATTTACATTGAAAACAAGTCTTAACCATGTGAACGTCTAGACATCGGTGTGTAGAACTACTTGGCCTACTATTAGCCACAACCTGACCACTCCTGCTCGTTTTGATAATTATCTAATACTTCCGTGACAGGTGTTTTGTCATGGAATGAAGAGATTTCAGTTGTGATGTTTTTTTTATCACCGTTATCGTCATCATTCCTTTGATTTCGAGTTTTCGACACCATTTTTTGTATTGAACAGACTCTAATATATAAACTAGACCCTAACTGAAATCCGGAAAAATGGAACCAAAACCGAACTGAACAACTTGGACCGTGGTTCTCAGTTATTTCGGGTAATGTTGACAGCCCTATTAGAAAACCATTTCATAATTACCAAGAATTTTACATGCATTATAAAGCAGTGTTTAACTAATCTTTTTCTTAGCCAAAAATCTCAAAATTGTTGAAAATAAATCTTGAAAAAAAGCCTTTGGTGTATCCTTAGAGAGACATATTTGGATGAGTGATTTTTACATTCATTATTTTCAGAAGAGTTCAAGGTTGAATATTATCACTGCACCAAGTTGCGACTTTTTGTGCATGCTGAGAAAATAACACATTAAAGAAAAAGTGTGATGAAATAGCTGAATCAAGCTATTCTGAATAGCTTTATCAAGCTAGATAGCTAAATCAAGAGATTGTGCTGGACCTGTTTTAATTTAAAAATCATGTTTCATAGTTAGGCGTAAAAAAAAAAAAAAAGTTTGTTTACAGTTACCTGACTGACCCTATATTTAATTGCCAACCCAGATTTTTTTTTTCAACGGAAGTCACTCGCCGGTCAGTTTAACTTTTACATGCAACTTAATCAGTCAAGCATTTGAAATCAAAATTGAAAGTACTAGAAACAAAAAAGCACCACACAATGGTAAAACTGTTTTGTATTTCAACCAATTCATGTGAATTTGTGTATTAAAAAAAATCAATAAAAAAAATTAAAAATCAAACCTACAAAACCAACCCTTTTTTATTTCAGCATGTAAGAGTAATCGGACATATTTTTTTGTTCAGCCTTACCATTGGTTAGGTCAACAAAGCTGGTCAATATTTCACCATGATCAGGTCCTAATATACATTGACCAGCTCATTCAGCTGTTTATCAGAAATTGAAATAAAGTTGTTGTTATAATTAAGCCAGACTGTTCATTATCTGCACTTGCTTACCTTCATCCGAAGTCGACAGTCAATTCTAATTCCCAAGGTCATACTCAGTGTAGGTCTACTAGTAGTACGGCAGATTCTATATGTATCCATCAGCCGAGACGATACCAGGCATCACAAAGTCATTATTCATGAATAGATCTAATACACTTGAATTCTTTTACTAACGATAGGAAAAACGCGAACAATTTAGACGAACCTCCATCATTATGGAAGCACATGCACATGCACAGCCTCATTGTATCAAATTCAAACTCCGATCCCGATTCTTACATGCATAAAATGCTGAATAGAACGAAGAACGCGGGAAGGGGGGAAATATCAGAAAACAATTAATTTTATCTTTACGCTTGATTTGTTTTTAAAGATACTACTAAATCATTAATTGAAATGGAGGAAAAATGAGTCTTAAAAAGGAACAGCGTACTTTTTTGTGAAAGGTCGAAGGCTTTCAGAAAAAAAATATGCGCGAACCGTTTGTTTTTGTTTTGTTTTGTTTTGGGGTTTTTTTTTTGGGGGGGGGGGGAGATGTCTTTTTTTTTTTCAATTCATGTCTAAATGAACAAAAAGTTTACTAAATAAATCATTTTGTTAAACACAAATGAATAAAAAAAAAAGACTTATGAAAGCCGAAGACTAAAAAGAAGTAATTCGTTTTTAAGATTTGTTTCTCGATACAGGCCCGTAGGAAGCAATTTCACTTTGAGGGGGCACAACCATACATGTACATTTTCAGTTGGGGGTTCACTATCAACTACCAAAATTTCTTGACAATCAAAAAGAAAAAAAAAAAAAAAAAAAAAAAGGTCATCAGACGTTATTATTGAGGGGGGCACAAGTATATAGTAGAGCTCTATGTTTTCTATAGTATTCTATATCGGCAAAATTATGGGGGGGGGGGCACATCCCCCCGTACCCCCCCCCCCGGTTCCTATGGCCATGCGATGAATAAAATAATCTAATAGTAAATGCTTAACTTATTATTCGATTTTAGTGACAAGTATGTTACTTTGCGTCTAAATATACGGGGCCGTGATTGCATACTTACATTTGCACGCATTTATTACAGGTAATTTCTTCCACATTGGGACATATTTTATTGAAAAAAAAAGTCAAATGTTAGACACAACTTTGAAAACCTTCTCTTAATGCAACATTTTGTAAAATTTTCATAATATATAATTTGATTTATATAGTCTATTGGGAAAAAATTAGTTGTGTCAAAAATTAATATAAATCCCTAATGTACAATATATGATTCTTCTTAAAACTAGGATTTTTAGAAAAATGTCCATATTCATTTAGAAAAGCTTGTTAATAATCTTTAAAGCATTTTATGCACCAGAGAAGGAATCGTTCCCCCATAGCATCAGATGCACATCTATAATGAACAAATTTTTGAATGATAAAAGATTGTTCATTAGAGAATGTAATACTGTTGTATATTTTCTCAAAAAGAATAAATCAGGGACCTAATGGGCATTAACATTTTAGGATTGTAATTGTTTCATTTCTTTATGAGTAGTTAACCAAATTAACTTTAAAAAATAATAGCTATTCAATTTACACATGGATTTATCAAATAAATTTTTGCAATAAATGAAAAAAAAAATCCGAAATTGTTTCTCTTACAACCCGATTTATTATGAAGGCACACATATTTTATGTTATTTGAACTTTGTCGATGTGGAAAAAGTTTTGAAAAAAAAGCAACTTGTATTTCTATTCCAGGTTTAATCGGGATCAATAGGAGTTATGCACAACTCTCTCTCTCTCTCTCTCTCTCTCGTAAACACAACCGTAACACCTAGCTCTTGATCCACCACTGCACGTGAATATGCATGGATGCAAACTTTCTTAAACATGTTTAGTTCTAGCTGAGGGGGCAAGATTTTTGACCTACATACATGTACCATGAGCATTACCCTGGTTAATATCACGCTTTCTAAATCAGCATGGTCGTCTGCATAGGAACGCAGCGTCCTTGTCTATCGATTACAACTTGTACAAAGTTGATTTTAAAAGAAGGGGGACGGGGTACTGATGTCAATATGATTTGCAAGAAAAATGATAATTCAATAGTATTGATGACAAACAACCTTATTACGCACTGTATCATACATGTATTTGCTATCTACAGTATCAGAAATATGCTAATAATGAAAGGAAGAATGGCTAGTTTTAAGCTTTCTACAAGTGGCATCTTTTATCAGATTTTCTCTTTTAGAGAAGTATGGAAGGCAAGCTATTGACTATCTACTTCTCTAAAGAGAATACAATGGGGGAGATAAAAATACTCGACAAGCAATTAATAAACAGAAAAGGTCACTATTAAAAACTCTAAAATGGAATAGATTTTTAAGTTTATTTTTCTTTTAAATGATTGTACGGTTCAGAGGATCGATAATCTTTGATTTGCAATTTATTTGGTTTGAGAAAATTTTGGTCTCATACATTTATAGACATGAACAATAATTTCGTCTTTTATTATTTCTAAGGGGAGGGGGACTTTTCTTACATAATTTGAAGCATAATTATACCAACAAAAAATGGAATAACTGGCTATATGTCTGGATGCACTACATTTCAAAGAATGAAAATAAAGGTAAACAACACAGATAATAAAGTACACGGATTCCCTATTCTATAAAATCTATAAAATATGCTATGATTTATAGTTTATATTTGGAAACTAAATTATTTAAAAAAAAAAATCACCTTGTATTTTATACTATTTATTTATTAGAATTCCTTCCAACTGAGCACTGAACTGTGCCCCACACATTTTTCTCAAAAGAACTTACATACGTTGACACATCAAGACCCCCAGTGAGCCTCTCGTTTACACTTCTGAATTCCAGACTTTGCTACGTCGGGAAAAACAGGTTTTTTGACCTACATTGCCCTGCTTTTTAACAAAGTTTTCTGCGTAGGAATGCGGAATTACTGTATCAATTTACAACTTGTGCAGAAATTCTGAAATACGACGAAACCGCACGTTAGCTAGCAAAGTTTTGCCTAATTCTTCTTTTCGGGAAGGGGGGGGGGCTCCAAAAAGAAGAAATATATATCTTAATGTGAATAGAATAGCATTTATTACGATATCAGGGAGCTAAGGGGCATTAACATATTATATAATATACAATTACAAACAAGCAGAGTGAATCGATTTAGTAAATCTTTAGTACTTCTAACATTTCATATCTAGACATGAATATTTATTATAATTAATTTATAGAATCATTCAATAATCAATGTACATCATAAAATAAGCTGCCATTTCCCTATTTAAAGCATGCACACCAAGTGGATTTCAAATCATTCCCAAAATGCATGAAAATCTTATAGCTATGGAATGAATATGATGATTTTGAAGTAATAAAGTCCCTGATTTTTCCCTAATAATAAGAGTGGATCATCAAATTCTCATATTCTGTCACAAATTTACATCTAAAAATCACTGTACATCATCAAAATATATCATCCAACATCATATGTCACATTGCGATAACAAGTAAATAGCTGCCATTTCCCTTCTTAAAGCCTGCACACCTAGTGGATTTCAAATCATTCCCAAAATGCATGAAAATCTTATGCCTATGAAATGAATATGATGATTTTAAAGTTATAAAGTCCCTGATTTTTCCCTAATAATAAGAGTGGATCATCAATTTCTCATATTCTGTCACAAATTTACATCTAAAAATTCCCTAATTGGTCTTCATGCACAAAATAAATCATTTTCAGGCAATTGGATTTGTAAGTTTTGCATCACTCAATCAATGTATATAGAAAATACAATCACTTATTCCCTGTTTCAAACCAATTAGCTTGTACTCATGTGCACAAGGGAATTTGGGTGAAAAAAACTAAGTCCAATATGATTGAACATTTTCAGGTTTCTTTAGAATTACATCAGGATTTCATGAAATCTTTGATGCACCCTTACTTGGCATTGGCAAAGTGATGAAGATGACACTAAACATTCAATAATCACTGTACATCATCAAAATATATCATCCAACATCATATGTCACATTGCGATAACAAGTAAATAGCTGCCATTTCCCTTCTTAAAGCCTGCACACCTAGTGGATTTCAAATCATTCCCAAAATGCATGAAAATCTTATGCCTATGAAATGAATATGATGATTTTAAAGTTATAAAGTCCCTGATTTTTCCCTAATAATAAGAGTGGATCATCAATTTCTCATATTCTGTCACAAATTTACATCTAAAAATTCCCTAATTGGTCTTCATGCACAAAATAAATCATTTTCAGGCAATTGGATTTGTAGGTTTTGCATCACTCAATCAATGTATACAGAAAATACAATCACTTATTCCCTGTTTCAAACCAATTAGCTTGTGCTCATGTGCACAAGGGAATTTGGGTGAAAAAAACTAAGTCCAATTTGATTGAACATTTTCAGGTTTCTTTAGAATTTCAGAGGGATTTCATGACATCTTTGATGCACCCTTACTTGGCATTGGCAAAGTGATGAAGATGACACTAAACATTCAATAATCACTGTACATCATCAAAATATATCATCCAACATCATATGTCACATTGCGATAACAAGTAAATAGCTGCCATTTCCCTTCTTAAAGCCTGCACACCTAGTGGATTTCAAATCATTCCCAAAATGCATGAAAATCTTATGCCTATGAAATGAATATGATGATTTTAAAGTTATAAAGTCCCTGATTTTTCCCTAATAATAAGAGTGGATCATCAATTTCTCATATTCTGTCACAAATTTACATCTAAAAATTCCCTAATTGGTCTTCATGCACAAAATAAATCATTTTCAGGCAATTGGATTTGTAAGTTTTGCATCACTCAATCAATGTATATAGAAAATACAATCACTTATTCCCTGTTTCAAACCAATTAGCTTGTGCTCATGTGTACAAGGGAATTTGGGTGAAAAAAACTAAGTCCAATTTGATTGAACATTTTCAGGTTTCTTTAGAATTACATCAGGATTTCATGAAATCTTTGATGCACCCTTACTTGGCATTGGCAAAGTGATGAAGATGACACTAAACATTCAATAATCACTGTACATCATCAAAATATATCATCCAACATCATATGTCACATTGCGATAACAAGTAAATAGCTGCCATTTCCCTTCTTAAAGCCTGCACACCTAGTGGATTTCAAATCATTCCCAAAATGCATGAAAATCTTATGCCTATGAAATGAATATGATGATTTTAAAGT